TACCCACTAGACATTCTCATAAATAAATAATTCAAAATCTATCATCAACAAGATTTAATACAAATCAAATAAAACATTTAATTTTTACTTACGCTTGCTTCACACTACGAATATTTTTTTTTCTTCCCGAGATAAACTGCACAGTATCACCGTTGAACACCAACTAATTAAATCACATTTCTAACATGCACTGCAATTCTCAGCGGCCTCTGCCGTACGGAAGCCCAAATATAACCGACTGACCAACTTACCCCGCGTCCCAACTAACCCCGGCCTCCCCTAAGCGTCAATTTGTTAAATGGAGATCTTCTTTTAATATTAGTGCTAAATGGCAAGCAATGGACTTTATCCACATTTAATGTCACTAATTTACTGTCAAACCAGCTTTTCATATTTGGGAGATATTCATTTAAAACATTGCGATATTCGTAGAAAATTCTTCGTGTTTTGGAATGTCGATATTTGTCTCCAATAATTATTGAATATGCTGTATTCGAGTTATCATAGTTTTAAAAATAATTTTGTTAATGATCAATAAATTCAATTGAAGGTAAACGATGTAAACAATATATGTAGCAACAACAACAATTGTATCTTTTTTTTAATGTTCTATTAAATCTCTGTTGTAGATTGTTAAAAGTGTGTAGTTGTATTTGTGATAGGATTTTATATAAATACCTAGTGAATTACCTTTATTGTATAAACAAAATCATAACCTGATGTAATATAGAGTTCTGATTGCAGTAGATTTCAGGTCTCTGTTACTATATATATTATAGTCTATAGGTCTTCTAGGAATGTTTAGATTCATCTTCATTTTTGTTAAGACTTCTAATGTTTGAGTAATTATTAAGATTACTGGTAAATTTATTTATAGTAGTATTCCATAATATTGAAAGGATAGATCCAATAAATTAGTTGAAAATAAAAGAAAAATACCTAAACATATTTTTTTTGTTTAAATTAAATAGGTACTATACTATAAAAACGAAGAAGTAAAAAAAACTGAATAATAGAAGTACCTATACAACACCGATTACTAGTATTCTTTATTAAACAGGGTGTCTAAAATTAAGACTCGATAGGTACCTTTCAATTTACTTCACCACTGTCGCACCATTGTTTTTGCATTCCTTCATTACATACTTTTCTATCGGTTTTGACATCACGACCGCAGCGTTGATTTATGCTCATTGGCCGAACCGTAGTTCAATCTCCATACCTCATGAACTTGAAATATGTTCGGTAGTTCGAATGCATCGCTACACGTGACCTTTCGATCCCCGACTCCCGGTGTATAACGAATGTTCTCAAATAACTCATTCTCGAAGTTGGGCGGGGAATTTTAGCTTTCTCGACCCGACCCCGCCGCTCCGGTCAGTGCCCAATGTACCTACAACTCTAACACACCTCAGGGAAAAATATTTAATTCAAAAATACCAACTCAAAACTACTTGCTACCTTTTTTTATGTCATTGATAGTTAAAAAATAATTACCTACCTTAGAAAATATAATAAATAATCATTCGGGATCTAAAGAAATCAATGTTACCAAATTTGTTTACCCTGTATATCAGGTTTGCAAGAAATCTCTTTGAAATGAAAAAAAATACGTAAAATAAATCACTAATATTTTTAGAACTATTACATCAGTCTGAAAAGGCCCGAATATTTAACAATTTTTAACTGAAAAATCTAAGAACTGGAAAAGTTTGACATTTATTATGAAAATCTAAGTTGTTAAACCAAGTTTTAAATATGGCAACAACGCATGTCTTAACACAGAACCACAGTATATATAGCTCAATGAGGTTGAATAATATGGAGATGACATGCCAAAAAAAACGACACCCCTTCCCCCTCTCTTAGTGGTCATGTCATAGTTGTCAAAGAGCTGTCAGAACTTTGTTCAAATTTAAATATTTCGACGTTATTTCTATCTTAATAAGTGTTTTTTTTTTATTAATTTGTATAAAAATCATGACTAAGTGTGCCAAAATTAATTGTAAAAACTCTTCAGTGAAAGAGCGTAAGAAAATATCTAATTTAAGTTTTCATAAGTAAGTATAAGGAGGGTACTTAGATTTTTTTTAGAATGCTTAACTTTTTTTTATTATAGGTTTCCAAAAGACCCACAATATCTCAAAATTTGTGGGAAAAGACCAATTTGAGCCTAAACCGAATAGCATGTTGTGCTCTATTCACTTCAAGGAAGAATGTTTTGCCAAATTTGGCCAACGTTTTTGGTGTCATAAGATACGTTACACTTATTTGAACTATAATTATATATTTTTTGATGTTTTTCAAGTAAATCATACAGGTACTTTTGTTGGGAACTTCAAAATTAAAATGAAGAATATTCGCATTTTAAGCATAGTCTTATTTTTAATCAGACTCTTCAGTTGTTCTGTATCCCTTTCTCAATGAGAAACCTTGTATATAAACTTCCCACTTTAACAATTTTATATTTTTCAAGTATGTACAATACAGGTGTATCAGAAATTAAAGCAAAAAGACAACTTATAAATAAAAACAAGGTTTTCCAAAACAATTGATATATTCTTTAGTTATACACGAATTTTTTCACCTAAAATGTGAAAGCGACCAACTAGCAATTTTGTCTTAACCTACCTAAAAAATAAGAAATGAAACGAGAAGGTATTTAAAGTGTGTAATTATTGAGTTTAAAATACTTCCTAAATTTGGTTTCTTTTCCAAAAAGCCTCCGCTGCACAGTGATATTAAAGACAGCTTCTGTATCGCTATACAAAAACAACTTATCCACTGGCTTCTTGGAAACTTGGACGATTGCAATTGCCAGTTTCTTTTCTTCTTCTTCCTCTTCCAACAATAAAAACAACGCAAAACATTTATTTGCGGCCATTTTAGTTAGTTTAGAAGGCAAGTTGGAATACAAAAAATTACGAACAGGGTTTTTTTAAATCAGCAACTATCTTAGTAATGTGCCAAAACAGCATGAGTGACAATTGACATTGGACAATGAAGTTGTCAAGAAAAATGCCAACTAAACAAATTGAAATAAGTTTCGTGAAAAATTGTCAAAAGGTTGATATTAAAAATGATAAAAGTGGGTTGGTACCACTGAGCATGCGACGTCAAGTTATGGAGAGACTTTAAATTATTAAACAAGAAATGATTACAATGAATTAAATAGAATTATAGGTTATACAGTAAATGAAGGTAGAAAAACAAGTTTTTTTGGAAATGAAAAAGGTTTCAAACTGAAAACAAACTGCAGAATTGAGCAGGTCAGCTCCAACGAAACCGAAGTCGCAAGCAGATCAGCTTTTCCAGCTGAAAAGAGGAGCAAAAACCGTCCTGGCCACGAAATCAGCAATCGCTGGAAAAGACATGATCAACTCCGCTGTAAAGAAGATTAAAGACGAAGCTGACTAGGTAACTTCAGACTATGCTTCAGACCAACTGTTGTTCATACTCTTAAAAAGAGGAGGAACTTTGCTATTGAGATGAATGTGAGTGTTAACACATGTGATATTTGTTTTATTAAACTCTCTGTATATCTCAAGGTCTTCAAGAAGATTTAGTTTAAACTTGCAATTAAAAATATTATGAAGAACAGTAACATTCTCAGAAGGAGCGAAGTTATGATTGTTGAATTTGATATGATATCCAAACGTGGACTTATCTGGATATCTAATATGTTCAACAGCTCGTATGTTGAGTCTCATCTCAGTTTTTCCTATATAAGTTATGAAGGGAGGAAACCTTTCCTATTATCAAGGACTTTCTTGCTAAAAATAACTTCAATCTTCATTCTATCAATAGTATTTTGGATTTACTAAAAATCTGTCTTGACCAAGATTTCTTTATTTTTAATAAAACATTCTATAGACAACCCAAATGGCTGAGTAATAGGTAATCCTCTAAGTCTTTTGTTAGCAGACTTATTTCTAGATCACTTAGAAACCAAAAAAATTTTTAATGATTGTCCTAATAAAAGAATATCACACTGGTACAGATATGTTGATGACATTTTTGCAATTATGAATTGTAATTTTACTGAGATTGATGACGACTTCTTATTTTTCTTTAACAATATCCATCCTAAAATAAAATTCTTAGTTGAGCTTGAAGTCAATAAATCACTTAATTTCCTAGACCTTTTTATCAGTCGTCTGGATAATAAACTTGAATTTGATGTCTACAGGAGACCAACTCAAACTGACCATCTAATGAATTTTCACTTTAATCACTCTTATCAACACAAGTTATCAGCCATATACTGTTATGTTCATCGTCTTCTTAATATACTTTTTACTAATCATAATTTTAATAAAGAAATCAACGTTTTAAAACAATTAGCTTTTAATAATAACTACAATCCTTCATTATTAATGTGGTTATCAATAAAGTCAAACTCAAGAAAAGGTCCCAACTTGCTTTTAATCCTACTAATGAACCTCCTGCTAATATTAAATAAGTTTCACTACCATATCTTGGGAAAGTTTCCAATTTCCAGTTTTAAAGGATTGCAACAATATTAAAATTTCTTTTAAAAATGTTAATTTGATTAAAAGCCATATTAAGGATGAAATTGAGTTGCTACACAAAAGTGGTATCTATAGACTAAGCTGTAACGATTGTAATAGGTGTTATATAGGAAAAATTGAGACGAGACTTAATATACGAGCTGTTGAACACATTAGATATCCAGATAAGTCTAACTTCACTCCTTCTGAGAATGTTACTTTTCTTCATAATATTTTTAATTGCAACTTTAAACCAAATCTTCTTGAAAACCTTGAGATGCACAGAGTTTAAGAAACCAAATGTCACATGTGTTAACACTCAAATTTATCCCAATACCAAAGTTCCTTCTCTCTTTAAGAGTATTGGCAACAGTTGGTTTGAAGTTACCTAGTCAGCTTCGCCTTTAATCTTTGCAGCGGAGTTGATCATGTCTTTTCCAGAGATTGCTGATTTCGTGGCCAGGACGGTTTTTCCTCCTCTTTTCAGCTGAAAAAGCTGGTTTGCCTGCGTAATTTTTTGTATTCCAACTTGCCATCTCCTCATGAAATTAATTGGCTAACCCTTTCTGCCTTCAAGTGGAAGATTAGCAGTTCCTCGTTCTTCTTATCAGCATGGTTTAGTTCTGCATGGACGGATGAACCTCCACTTTGTTAAAAACTTACCAGCTGGTCTTACATTTTGCACTGGGTCAGTTACCAAATTTCGGTTTGGATTTTGAATTATTTAAGCTGCAAGCTATGGTGGAGACTTGGGACTGGTCAGTAGTGGCTGTCCCTTATTAATTTACTTTAGTTTCTTGAAGTTTCTTTTAAAGTTTTTTTGACGAATAATTACACACTTTAAATCCCTTCTCGCTTTATTTCTTATTGCCTAGTGTGTACACACCATTCAACCTCTTTTTCTAACTAAAAAATGCCTAATACTAAGATGTCACCCATCAGTGGGATTCACGTCATGGCTGTGAGCTTTTTCTTAACACTGTGTTATGCCTAAAAGCCTAAAACACTTTCTGCAAAGGTTTTGTGCTATCCAGTCTTCTTTTTACGTCATGTTGATTGAGTAGCTAGAGTATTTGTCTGCTTTTGCATCGCTTCGTGCTTTTAAGCAATTCTCTTGATTTCTTCTCTTACCATGTTAAGGTCTTTATGCAGATTTGTGTTTCGGATATAAAATAGAGCACCCACAATGTTCCGAAATACTTTGTTTTGAAAATTTTGAATTGTTTGTTCTATTGTAGTCCCAGAGCTGTAAGACATGTGTACAGTTTTTAGAATCTGCTGGTATATGAGCAGTTGTGATTTATCTTTATGTACTATCGTACCTACTAACCACAAATGGAAGCCATTCTTAAAAATATTGAAATGTCGTCAAATGAAGGGCAACAGTTTATATATGATATTTTTTAAATAACCAAACAGAGAAGTAGTAGTACAATAACAATATGGTTTAATGTCATTATCATCGATACACCATGTAACTTTTCTGTACATATCTACTCTCCCCATACCTCCTAAGAGCTGAAAATAATGTTTTCCATTCTTAAAGGATGCTTCAACGGTAGCTTCAAACATTGCTGTTGGATTAGTTTCTATCGTGAGCAAATAATGATTCACAGTTTCATTTTGATGATTGACGTAAGGTTTGGAAATTCCTGCTGAGCGTACTCTGCGCAATGAATATGTTGAACATAAACTCCCTACTGCTTTATGCTTAATTCGTTTATTGACTGTGCCCAGTATAAATTGTCCTATTAAACGAACATTGTGATCATTTGGGTCAATATAGGTATGCTTTTCACAAGTACACCAATGTGAGTCTATATGAGCATCCTCACAGGATCGATTTTCTGGTACTTCAGAAAATATAGACAAACACTCTGGACAACCTTTACCAATATATTTTTTGTAATTACTATCTCCCATTTCTAAAATATCTTGAAAAGTGTAGAACAAATCATAGGGAACTGTTAATCTTTCAATATTGGTTAAAAAATTCTTATATTTATCAGGATATAGTTTTTCAAATTTCTTAGGTAAACGTATATATATAAAAGGAAGCCTTTCTTCCAACCAACCAGAATGGGTAAATCTAATATCACCAAACCGAAATCCATGATCACTGAAAAATATAAATATTGTATTGTCTAATGCAGACATGAAATGGGGATCACTTAAAAACTTGAAAGTAGGTACATCCATGGCAGCTGCCATATTAATATCGTCATGGCTGAATGAATTAGTCCAAAATAAGCCAAAACTAGGTTCATCTTTGAAGCTAATAGCGAAATCTTTAGCAGCGTTTAAAATTCTCTGGCCAGATATTTCAGGTCCGGCACAGAAGGTCATTGATTTGAATTTTTGGACTTTTAGAGTTTCTGATGCTAAAAAGTAAGGACGATAGTAGAAGTCTGTAGGTTCTACTGAGAAACCAGGGCGATGATAATTAAACGTACTAAGAATACATTCATCTTCTGCGAACGCTGTAACATATTTAGATTCTCTGAAGTGATCCCAAATAAAGTGACAAGTATTTAGCCTTACAGAATTATTACAAATTTGATCTAACTGGTCACAATTATAACCAGTAAGTATAGCCATCAAGTTCGGAAATGTGTTGAGTCCAATTTTATTGTATCCTCTTAGTTTAAAAAAATGTTCTTCTGCAAATTGGTACGTTCTTGGCATAGTTCTTCTAATATTAGATTTTGACATACTGTCTATACCTACAAGTAATACGCTAAACTTGTTTTTGTTTGGAGATGTATTTGTTTCTTTCACAAGTGGTAATGTTGTAGCGTGCACGTTGGTATAAACGGAAGTTAAAAAGTTGTAACAATTTACTCGTATATAGGGAAATGTGAGGTTGACTGTATCTTCGAAAACTATACAATCCGTAAACCTGAAAAAAAATTTTTTTTTATAAATTACAGTTTTATTTGTAAAAATAATCAACCAATTCCAGTTCTCTGACTGTGGCTCAAGAATTAAGATGTTTACGACCAGGCACGCGCCATACTTAAGGGCAAAGTCGTGTGGTGCACGACGGCGCCGAGGTGCCGAAAAACCTCAAAACTCAAAAGTAAAAAAAGATAAAGCAATAATAATAAAAAAATAGTAAAAAATTGCTAGCTATTACATTGTTTTTTTATTTGTTTAATATTTTATTTTTACTCTTTGAGACAAGGGAACCGAATTTCTCGAAAATATATTTTCCAAATTAATTGTGTAAACTCAAACAAATCTGATTTTATTCATGTTTGAGGTTGGGGCCCCATTTGAGTCCGGGCCCCGGGAATTTGTCCCGGTTACCCCCCCTCTAGTCGGCCCTGACCAGGATCAGCGCAAGGACAGCCCAGTGGACAAAATGTTACCATGATCGTTGTATCTCGCGAATTTCGATCTCCCTGCCAAGGTGTTCAATTTCGGCGATCCATTTGCTGTGAGATAATGCCAGTGGATCCAGCACTGACCCAAATGGCCCTAGAACCTTGCCAGAACATTGAAATTATGCTTCGTGTCTCGCTCAGGTCTGGCCTAAGGTGGAAAACTGGCTCAGAGGGTTATAAACTGGCGACTTTCTATTCCACTGATAAGCGTCGATTGCGACGATGCACTTGCTGTGAGTTCATGACCGTCTATCCAGCATTAACCTTACGGACCCAGAATCTTGCCAAAATGTTTGTCTCATGCCACATGTGCTACCTAGGTCCGGTCCAGTGGGTAGGAAGTGGCCCCGTAATTACTGTTACTAATTTCAAGTTCCCCGCCAAGAAGCGAGAATTTGACGATAAATTTGCTTTGGTCGAACGGCGGTCCACTCAGCACTGATCTGAGAACCTATAGAACCTTGCTAGAACGTCGAATCGATCAGCTGCTTCTCCCGCCATAGCTGACTCAAGATGTAGAATTCTCGACAACGAAAATACGTTCAATAGGCCACTGTCAGGAATCCCGCTCCCGAAATTCTGGGCGACAAGACTCCACAACGATAGTGAAGTTAGGTTAGGTTGAGTCAGGTGAAACTCGGTTGAGCTTAAAGGTTAGATTGGGTGTGTTCAGCTTCCGTTACGGTTACGTGAAGTTAGATTAGGTTTGGGTGAGGTTCGGTTAGGTTGGGTGTATGTCGATCAGGGTTGGGTTTGGTTAGGTGAGATGAGGGTGGTCGTGGTTAACTCCCGTTACGATTAGGTTGAGCGAGGTTGAATTAGGGATCCATAAGGTTAAGTTACGGTTATGGTGATGTTGAATGAGATTAGGGTTGGTTCAGGTTAGGCGAGGTTAAGTTGGATGATGGATGGGTGAGGTTAGATTTGGTTCATTTTAGGTTGGGCGAGGTTGAGTCTGGTCAAGTTAAGTCAGCTTCCGTTACAGTTAGGTTAGATTCGGTGAAAAAAGTGCAGGGGTTGGGGGCAAGGCCCAATTCGACTCCAGACTGTATCGGGGAGAATTATTTGTTGTACGTGTATTCAGCGGGTGAAAGCGGAAATTCTTGTCATCGGGAATCATGCAGGACACCCCATTTCAACAAGGCTAGAGTACAGCACCAGCGGGCTCTGCCAAAAATGTTTTCAATAACCGTTGCTTCTTGTCAAATATTGGGTAGAAGAATTCGAGAGTTGATCCTACAATACATACATAGGTGAAATTCGCACGAAAGTGTAAACATTCCTTTCATGTTAACGAAGAATACCGACAGTTTCGAATGCATTATCTCCATTTTATTAGTTTGCCCCGGACAGTATACTCAGCTTCACCCAATTTTTGGACGATGTTCTAGGAGGACTTTAAGAAGTACTGGCATTAACTTACCAACTTGCCAAAATTCTACATATTGGCAAGGGAAGCAAAATTCACGAACTCGAATACCTCGAACCACTTGAGCATAGCTCCAATTTTCTGGCAAGGTTCTATGGCTATTTGGGTCAGTGCTGGATCCACTGGCATTATCTCACAGCAAATGGATCGCCAAAATTGTTAGTGGCTAAAACGCCTCGTTAAGTGCTATCTTCGGGTGTAAACTGGTGTAAACTGATGTAAACTGATGTAAACTGATGTAAACTGGTGTAAACTGGTGTAAACTGGTGTAAACTGGTGTAAACTGGTGTAAACGGGTGTAAACGGGTGTAAACGGGTGTAAACTGGTGTAAACTGATGTAAACTGGTGTAAACTGGTGTAAACTGGTGTAAACTGGTGTAAACTAGTGTAAATCGTTTCAGGAAACGAATGATGACTGAGAGTGTACAATACGATAGTTACAGTCGCGTTACAACAGAAGGCAGCACTTAACGAGGCGTTTTAGCCACTAATTTTGGCGAATTTTAAAAAATCATTAACAAGACATTAAGAGCTCAAATTTCGGGATTATATTAAGAATAATTCTGCTGAGGAATGCATTTATTTTCATTATGATATTTCAAAATTTAAAGCCCTTTGATTTTTGTTCTCGGAAACTGGAAGGAATTAAAACTTTAAAATATATTCATATTCTAGATATTATTGCCTAATATATTTTGCCAAAAACTTAATTTAAAAAAAAAATTACTTTTTGAGATATCCTTGTCCGAAAATTATAAGGGGTGCTGTAATCACCTTAAGTATCGGCACTCAATTAATAAACACCATGTATTAGAAAAATACTCACTCAATTTCGTTGTCGTCATCGATTTCATAACTAATTCTCTTGATATACGAGTAACAACATTGGACTGGCAAGCTACTATATACTCCCAAAAGAGATTTGTTGATGTTTAAGGTAACAGCTCCGTTTGTCTTATCAATATAAGTAAGAAGATCATATTTCGAGCACGTCAAGGTTACTTCATTTTCAAGAAATACAATTATTTCATCGTTAAATGGATCGTCTTCTGGAATGCGACAGTTGGAAGTATTTATAAGATAATTAATTTCTTGTAAATTATCAGATAATTCTGAAAAGGAAAATATTTTATTTTACATGCGAATCTATTGAATGCTGGACTTCCATTTCATAACAGCTTTAAAAATATTGTAATTTGGAATTATAATATTCTTATATAATAGTACAATTCTCAAAAATACAGTCAAAAAATCAATTTAAATAATATAAATTAAAAATATAATTATCTACACCTTTTATGTATTTACAAATTTATATTTGTGTAAATAATCCATCCATCCAAGTCAAACTGCAATTATTTTATTACTTACTAAAAAGAAAACTAAGGAGGAAATGTCAATAGACCAGAGATCCATTAGATAAAACCGGGAAAACCAACTTAAACAATGTCACCATGCAGTTAAAAAGAGATAAAACGAATTATTAGTAAGTATCTTAGTGTGTTGATAAACTACTGATTACTCTCTATGAAATAGCCTACTATGCAGTAGTCTCTGGAATGCAGTTGGGCTATTTCTGTGCAAAAAGGTAACAGATTCGTAGATAGCACCTGCAAAATTCTCTTTCCAACCATATGAAGGAGAAGAATTACCAAACTGGTATCTTTCAGGCAGAGATGACTCGATTATCAGGTTAACATCTCCAAAGGAATTAGTAAAGAATATAAAAACAAATATTGATCCTGAGGAAGCTGGCTTTGATTTAATTACAGGAGAAGTTTTAAAACAATTTCCAAAGAAAACCATAATTAAACTTATACACCTATTTATTGCCTCACTCAAACTAAGGTATGTCCCTAGATTGTGGAAAGTACCTGAAGTCATTATGATCCCCAAACCAGCAAATCCTCCTGCCTATATTATCGGAGCTTTTTAAAAAAATACCCGTCATTGAAGGAAGGAAACTAATTCCAGATTATCAGTTCGGCTATAGAGAAAACATAAATCAGGCTCATAGAATCTCAAATGCGATTGATATTCGATATTGCGCAGACTACATAAATTATGGCATGATGGGTTGAAACAAACTGAATATGCTATGCAGCCGTACTCAGAGACACTGGATTTACACATTTTAAATAGATTTTTTTAGAGTAAAACAAGATGAAGTATATTTTAAATTGAAAGAAATCAAAGCAGGATTATCACAGGGAAGCATCCTGGGAGCAACTTTGTATCTATTGTATACTTATGACTTACCCCATCTAGAATAAGACACTATCTACATTTGCAGATAATGCTGCCATTTTAGCGATAGACAAAGATCACGAAGAGGCTGCAAATAAACTACAAACATCAGTTAATTAAATAAACAACTGGACCAAAAGATGGCGTATTAAACTAAACGAAACCAAATCTGTTAATATTGTTTTTACTAACAAAAATGGTCAAAGAATACCAATTAAGATAAATAATTCCCAGATTCCCTATGCTAATTCAGCAAAATATCTAGGTATTACTTTAGATGCAAGACTTCGCTGGAAGGTCCATGTTAAAAAGAAAAGACAAGAATAAAATATAACATTCAAGACAATGTACTGGGTACTTGGTAGACAATCCAGCCTACCTACATAATGTAACAAACTTATTTTATAATAACAAGACCTTAAATCAATTTGGACATGTGGCATTCAGCTCTGGGGTTGTGCCAGCAATAATAATATTCTAGAACAAAGTGTTAAGGAACATTCTCGATGCTGCTTCCAGTGGCGTACCCAGATATAGATCTTGGAGAGGATAACAAAATTAAACATGAAACAAATATTTATTAAAAATTTGAGTATTCTATTTATATAACAAAATCTAGTTGCCTAGTCCAAGAGCTGATACCATAAGTTTCTTCCAATAACGATCAGAAACCAGTCACCAGGATTCTGCGCAGTAGATCCATTAGGACCCCAAATTATATACTGCGCAGAGTACTGATGCCAATAATTGGCTTTTGATCGTTGATGGAACAAACCTCATATTACATAACTGATTGATGAATTATATCATCACACGATGGTATTTTTAACACTTGTATGATATTTGATTCAGTAATTATTATAAAGCGATTAAGAGGTCTCTTACTCTCATTTTTCTTATGATCACTTATCACTTTAATGATGTTTTTGGGTTTGTGAACGTGCTGGGACTTCCTGGAGGATATATATACCTATTATTTCCTCCGTGGATACGCCACTGGCTGCTTCGTACATTAGAAACAGCTTCCTCCATCCAAATCTTAAGAGCGATATCCATGCAACACCTAACAGCAAATTCAGATTTAGAACACACTGACAACTTTCAGTGCATCTGAACCCACTTTGGCAACGTTGCTCTATTCCCAGGCTTACGCTCCCTTCAATTTATTACTTATAAACTATAGATGATTTAAAATATTAAAAATGCTGATAAATCGCAGGTCCGGTCTAACAAAGAGTATTTCTGTTTATTTTCTCGTTTAAAATATTTTTTAAAGGTATAACCTGGTGTAACATTTTCGAAAAATGTTTTTTATAACTAATTTATTTATTTATTTACGAAATATATTTTTAAATATACATATGTACCTATTTCTACATTTTCTTATATACAGGGTGTTTGTTGGTAAGTGTAAATGATTTTAGGGAATGTTTGCCGAAGTTATTTTATAAAAAAAACATAGATCGAAAAAGTCAGTGGCGCAGTTCTTTTTTATTAAAAAAGTGGCATTCTCGCACAAACGCCACTGGTACAAGTAGAAATATTTGGAACACCCCAAAAAATACACATTTGCCCCTTCAAAGTTTTTTTGCAAATTTAGAGTAAATATCTTTAAAACTATTAAAAATAATTAATAAAATTTAAAAAATTAAAATTTAAACATTCTGTATCTCGGAAACGAAGCATATTTCGACCTACTTTTATAGGAACTTTTTTTAAAAAAATACCTTTGATAACAATTTGCAAAAATCGTTCATACTTATTTACAAATACCCTGTATTAAAATATGTTTTTTAAATAATAACCCATTTGATACTAGTTTGTGCAACAACAGTGGACAATCCACTGGAGTTGCACAGTATGTTTTTTTCTACGACCCACTAACGAAAATCTACAAATTTAAAGTATTATTTTAGGAAAAGACAAAATAATTAATTTTAAAATAATTTATGACTTTACTAATTTGTGAAATAAAATAAACATGAAAAAATATTTCATTTAATTAGTCCCCAGCCCAGATTTGAACTCGGGCCTCTCGCGTGAAAGACAGATGCCGTATCATCATTTTCACCTCCACATTTAAAATTTAAGTTCTAAAAGTAGTAATTAAATTAGTTTCATATAGGTAGTTTAATTCAAATTTAGGATTTTTTAAATTGTGGTCTAAATTAAAATTATTTATGAATCCTACGCAAAAATAACTCATTTTAATGTATATTTAATCTCAATTCCTAAAAAATATACTGACAATTAGTTTGACAGAATTGTCACTTATTTAAAATTTTAAAAATAATAGTTGTTGGGTGTCCAATATATAAACTGTGATTGGTGGATTTCATTTTTTTGCAGTGTTCTCACTACCCAGAATGGATATGAAATATATTCGTTGAGTTGAACGCAATAGTATATTTTTTCGTTTTGTAGTCTGTGCGTGAATAGTAGTTTGTGCAACAAAATTGGATATGATGGCCATATCGCACGAAGACGAAGTTTCAGAACGACGCCGTAGACGGAGTGCTTAATCGTCTGAGTGCGATACAGACAATCCACTCGAGTTGTACAGTATATTTTTTCTACGACACCCTAACGAAATTCTACAAATTTAAAAAAGTAATTTATTAAGACAAAATAAATAATTTTAAAATAATGTATGACTTTTAATAATTTATAAAATAAAATAAACATACAAAAAGATTTAATTTAATTAGTCCCCAGCCATGATTGGAACTCGGGTCTCTCGCTTGGAGACAAACTCCGTGCCGTCGCCACACTTGCCATTATAGTTCTAATACTTGTAATTAAATTAGTTTTATATGGTTTGATTAAAATTTAAGATTTGTTTATAAATTTGGACGAAATAAAAATAGAAATTCTATTACTTATCGATTATACATAAGAAATATTCATTTTTACGTATATTTAATCTCAATAATTCAAAAATATACTGACAGTTAGTTTGACTACATAAAATTTAAAAAATAATAGTAGCCGGGTGACCAATATATAATCTGATTGGTGGATTTAACTGTTTTGCAGTGTTCTTACTAGGTAGAATGAATATGAAATATATTCGTTCAGTTGAACGCAATGGAATACTTTTTTGTTTTGTAGTATGTGCGTAGATTAGCTAATATTCATGTGGGTATAGAAAAAAGCATATCCATGTGGATGTAGAAAATAGTAGTTTGTGTAACATGAGTGAATATAAATTAAATTGATTTCATATAGTTTAATTAAAATTTATAATTATTTATTTCTAAATATAGATCAAATAAAACTAGAAATGCTATTATTTATCGATTCTACACAAGTATAACTCATTTTACGCAATTGCATATTTTTTCGTTTTGTAGTCTGTACGTAGATACGCTATCCATTTGGGTGTAGAAAAAATTGTTTTCTAGTACTAAAAATATTTAAAAATAACATTGAGTAAAATGATTTATTATTAGTAAAAGAAGGAATAAAAATAATCATTTTTATGGACTATTGGTCGGATTTCTATTCAAATTTCTAATATCTAAACCTCTAGTGAAACGTGGATCTAAGATCTCGGGTAGTATACAATCTAAATAAAATTGTTTTAGTTTGTTTTCCATATACACCAAAATCTATCATCTTTTTTATTTTTTCTACTAACATACTTAAAGGTAAATAAATAAAAAAAAAATATTTCGTTTAGTTACGTTAAGTTGCCCCTGAACAATTATTGCATTTTCGCATTATCATTAATAATTGCAAATTTTATTATGTTGTCAACCATTGCTTTTTTCGGAGTCAGTTTTGAAGCAGTGGCAGGATATTTAATTTCGATAATACTGTCTGTTCCTAATAAACCGTCAGAACCTAAAAACCATATTCAGAATCCACAAATAAACCACATTTATTGGATATCCGCTTTAAATTTGTAAATATTGCATTAAAGCTAAAGGTTTTTTTTTTATTCAATACTTAGTATATTAATTTCCCATATATTTTAACTTTAATGCTTAGAAGGGGTGCTAATGTTTGTCTTTTTCTAAGTAATCTAGCACGATATTTTATAGATTTCCGTCGAAACGGAAATATAATTTTCGGCATTTCCGAAAGTTTTCCCATTTTTATCACAAATTATTATAACTCAGCTTACACATAAAAGTTCATATAAACACATTGACTAAATACGAAACAAAAACACCTACACTTGAACTAAAAAGAATAAAGTTTTTTATTATTTTATTTTTATCCCAATTTTCCGGTACTGCATGCACCGCCAACGTCCGCCGCCTTGTTGCCAAATCAATTAATATGGATTGGAATCTTGACAGATTTTCTCAGATTTCCTAATTCAAGGTTTTCAAAAAAATATACGCTTTGGACAAAAAAGTGTATTGGAAAGAATTAGCTGATTTTTATATAACAATTCCCGGTAAAGACTCCTTTTTGCAATAATTTTCATAATTTGTATAGAAATAATTAAAAAATTAGTTTTTCTGAATTCGGGCTCTACAGCGGAGTTCTCTATCATTTGCTTAGTAGGTATACCAAATTTTATAAAAAAATATTTAAAACTGAGAAAGAGAACCTTGAAGTCGTTTTAAGCCTGTTTCTAACCATGGATATCGCTCTTAAGACTAGCATATATTCGCTAGGAGTCATGAACAACGGCTCCACCAACAGATGAACGTTGACGCGATCCAGCTTCTTGACAAGAAGACTCAATAGAGTAAAACCTTTTGAGTTAGCCAGGTGATTGTGTTAATAACAGAGAAAAGCATTGTGCAGTTTAGTGTAATCAAGTTATCAGACCCTAAGGTATGCTAGCGAGTACTTTTTAAATAGTTTTTAAGATTGCAATTTTAGTTAAGTTTGATTAGAACAAAAATACTCATTGATCAACTTTTCATCAGATTGTAACATAAATAATATAATGTTTAAAAAAAACTTACTATTTGCTTTGTTCGAAGTAATATCCTCGTCTTCGGTAATTATGACAATTATGTTAATAGTATATAACAGTGTAGCAAATATTAAGATTCCCCATAAGAAGAGCTTCCTTTGTAAACATCGAAATATTGGAACCTAAACAATAAAAGTATTTAAAATAAAGAGTAAAATTATGTGAAATAGAATTATTGGATGTTTTTAAGATACACAAATAATAATAAATATGAATGTATTAAATTGTTTAATCTCTTGTAGATACAGATGTTTAAACTTTTATTTTAATTTTTGTTAACAGACCTTTATAGTGGGTTGTATGAAAAAATATTAAATATTCAAACCCAGGATAATATATTTTATCCATGGATATATTATCTCTAGTTTTTGGTATCTAAGCTAATGTCATATTTGGGTTGAATTATTTAAAGGATATAAAAACTAGAGAGAAGGACAATGGACAAATTTCAAATTTCCGTCCTTCTTTTTATGCCAAATTGACTGTAGTTGGAAAGTCAAACATTAGTGAGGTTAATTTTCTATGTAACTCAATGTGAAACAAATTGTTTCTTTTTTAAATTGGTGAAAATAATCCAAATAATGTGAAAAAAGTTCCTGACTACAAGTAGCATAAGTGACAAAAAACATCAAAATAATATCTACTTCGTTCCAGGTTATAAAACGGGAAATAAACCACATGTAAAAGTACATAAAACGACAGAAGAAATCAATTCAGTCTTTTTAAAACTCCTAGTGTAAGTAAAGTAAATGATTTTTTTCTAAATATAATATTTGATCATACCTAATTTGCATTTTATAAAATTAAATAGTTTATCACTTAAAACATGCAAGACTTATTTAGAAATAAATACAACAGTATTGTCTGTACCTTATGAGCCGCGTCCATATTGAGCCTCGCGAGGCTGCCCCGCGAAGCAAATGCTCCCTTAGTGTAGACGTGCCTCTCCCTTAATTTAAGGACGTGCTGCCTCACCCGAGGCGGCTTCGTCCCGAGCCGAATGCTGTCGGTAACGTGGACGTGCTCAAAAGAGTTTCAGTTCAATTTGCTCGCGCAGTCTAGACTGTCGTGTGAAAAATTTTAAACAAAGTTTGAGCAAACCTATAAAATGAATAAATAGCAGTGTGGGCAACTAATCGAATTGTATGCGAGTTACAATCGATTGTGGGATTCAAAAAATCCTGAATACATAAACCTAAGCAAAGGAAATGTCACCTCCTGTCAGGAAATTTAAGAAAAACTGGAGTCTTTCTTGAACGGTGATGGCCTCCTGAAAATTTGTGTCTTTCTTTCTAATCAAATCAGATATAAGAGGTTGTAGACTTCTAAAGTCATACGAGTAAAATTTTGTACTGTGTTGTCTAGGGCCATTTCTCTCAATAACCTGTTTTCGGATTCCGGACGGTTCTTATATAAATTCTTCACCCAAACGCGTCTTGTTTTTTCTTTTTTAGAAGAACTTGACGTATTATTAAAAATACTAAAACAGCCTTAACAATTCACACATAAGGAAGCCATAACTTCAACTGAAAACAACTTAACACAACACTGATCCGACACTGTTGACAGAAATATGAATTTGTCTCGCATAAAAAAGAGGCTCGGGTTGTTTTTTCTGGAACCAAATTCAACCGATGCCGAGGCAGGCTCGCGAGGTAAAAGCCAGAGGCCGCCTCGCGAGGTAATTCGCTCAATGTGGACGCGGCTATTTATCAATGCAGTGACGAAGTCACTAAATGTTATTTTTAATTAATTAATTAATTAATTAAAAATGTATATTTTAATTAATTTCTACCTAGGAACGTTTCGAAGAGCCCATGTATTTGTGTTTCCCAGGAATTCCCTTGTAGGTTAAAATATTTCCGTATTTTCCGAAATCTGAATGGGCATTTGTAGATTCAATTTCATGTCAATTATCTTCTTGTATTCATCAAGGTCCAGGAAGAATATTTTTTGTTTTGGCCTAGTAAACAGTTGAATCGCTGATTGCAGAAAGGGTACAAGTCATGTTTTCGCATATTTTGAGATTTTTACGTGACTCGACAGTTCAACCCAAACCTCATCGTTGTGCGCATGAAGGATTCATATTCTGATAAACACCATGTAAAATAATAATTCATTTAAATAACGTTGAGTACAGAAAAGATCTAAGTCAATTGACTTGTACCCTTTATGCAGTCAATCGAGTCGCAAGGTGGCGCTGCTAGTGAAATATCGGTAGTTGTTTTTTTTTAATTTTCTGTCAGATTATCTTGTCCAGCCATGGAGGACGTAAATAATTTAAAACGTAAAAAAGGGGTAGTTAATGCGATGGATATAAAAGGAATATTATTAAAAAGTGCCGGTAAGTTTTAGTCGTTATAATAAAACATAATCTATTGAATTTTTAAATTTTTTTAGTGTTAAAGACCAAGAGTATGTAAATTATAAAGGTAATGTTGTTCCTGCTAAATCTGTTTGAGACCCATGTAACTGCAGGTTCAAATGGAAAAGATTACTACTAGAAGCATTTGAAAGATTTTATAATTTAGCTACAAAGGACGAACAGGACTTGTATTTACAGTATCTAGTTTCTAGTATCAAAACTCGCCGCCCACGAGTACAACAACTTAGGGAGAACAATAAACGTAACAGTAGTTTTAAATATCACGTACTGATTGCAACTGAAAGAAAAATGATTTATAGAAAGGCATTCTTATCTGTTCACTCCATCGGTAATAAAAGATTACAACGTATTCAGCAGTTGTTACAAGCAGGAATTACGCCTACAAATAAAAGAGGAAAACAAGTCAGTGCTGTTATCCCCGCCAAAGAGAAGATTTGTATTCATGAGCACATAAATTCGTTTCCTGTAAAAACGTCCCATTATTCTTCTAAAGAATATCATTATCTTAGCTCAGAATTGAAAGTAAGGACCATGTATTCGATGTTCAAAGAAAAATATCCAGACTCAAAGCTTAAATACGAATACTACAACAGTTTGGTAGGCATCAGGTCGACACATGCTGCACTTGTGAGAATCTTTCAATCAAAATTAAGAGTAAAGATCTAAATGAGAATGCTAAAAGAGTTGCTATTGCTGAAATGCTCGTGCATAAAAGACGAAGTAAAAAGTTTTACACGGCACTGCAGGAGTCAACAAAGAAGACCAAAGAGTCTAATAATGTAGTTGACGCGTTTGACTATATGCAAAACTTACAGCTTCCAAAAATACCAGTAAGCGTTTTTTGCATCCACAACATGAAGACTGATCAAGTTGTTTATTTCATTTGTCATGAAGGTTGTGGCAAGAAAGGCCCTAATGAAGTATGTTCCTTCCTTTACCAGTATATAAAGGAATATATACCTGATAGTGTGAGGGAACTGCATCTCTTTAGCGACAATTGTCCTGGTTAAAACAAAAATAACACCCTGATTCGAATGTGCCTGTTCCTGAAAGATTCCGGCAGTTTTGATGATATTCAGCAATACTTTCCTATTCGAGGACACTCGTTTCTGCCTTGCGATAGAGACTTTGGTAACATTAAAAGAAAGTTATAAAAAGTTGATCGTGTTTATACCATACGTCAGTATATAGAAATTCTAGCATCTTCCAGCAACAAACATAGATTTCTAATCCATCTTGTGGATGGAAAGGATATAGTGAATTTTAAAGACTGGTGGCATGGACTTTATAAAAAAACTGCTATTTCTATTGAAACTTCTCAAAGAGGTACGCCAAGAGATAGAAAAGTTACGTTTAACATCAGCAACTTTCATCAGTTTTCCTTCTGCAAGAATGAAGGCAAAGGTGTAGTACTTGCTAAAGACTACATTAATGGATTCAAGAAACATTCATTTTGTCTAGGACTTTCCAATATTGTAGCTGAATCTAAAGTATTTTTTTACCTAACAAAAAAACTTCAAATAAAATCAGATAAAATGGATCACATAAAAAAATCGGCTAAATATGTGAACGACGTTGAAGGAACAAAATAATTTTGGGATAATATTTTTAGTTGGCCTATTATAAATTAAAAATCTGAGTTTTGTTATTCTAATTTTTTCTTACAGTCTGTCTTTATGAAGTGTTTTTTGTCAATTACTCCCTCTTTCTTTTTGATTCTTCCAATTCATAACAGAAAGGTCTATAACTTTTTACTGCTTAAAGCAAATATTTTCAATTACCCCTAAAAGGGATAGTGTTTTGATATAGTTTTTACATGTACATTCAGTTTTTTTTATAAATTATGCTCCAGTTCGAAAAACAGTTATTTGCATTTATCTCAGAAGTTAAGTTTCTGCAATCAGCGATTCAGTTGGATTTGAAGATGGTATCTCCCACTCCAAAATTGCTAGGCTTCTAGGGCTTGTCTGCTGAGAAGGCATAAATAAGACGGGCAAAACAAATTATGTAAAACTAAAACGATGTATTTTTAACGTATCTAACAACACCAACGCCCCTGCGGTGAATTATAGAAGCTCGATTGGCATTCGTTTTTTTGGGACTGTATTTTAAATATGCCGATTATCCTCCTCTCTAGTCTTCATACTATCAAATAAAAATATTTTTTGGTAGTTCTGAAAATAATTGAAGAATAATCAAAAAAACGAAATGGTCAAATTTCCTTTTATCGTCATATCTCAAGAACCGGTTCTAATATTTTTGATTAATTTCCACCGCTAGATGATGCTTTGAGATACACAACTTTTTCTCTTTCTAACCGATCTTCTTACTAGTATGGTTTAGAAGTTACCAATACAATTCCATTAAAAAAGTGGCCATCCTATATAATAGCTTTATAATAGCCAATCTTTTAATTTCTGTAATTGTGTATGTCTTAATACAATAGTTTTTTTAGATGTTTTTGTCAGGATCTTGACTGCACACGAACTATTTTTTTTTTTTTTTTTTTTTAGAAAAAATTATTTATTTTTATTTGCACATATTTATAAAACAACCATTGTATTTAAAAACTCGCTTTCCTTTATAATTTACATTTATTATACGTCTCGAAATAAATCAAACTTACCATCAAGTACATTCTTTGTAATCTTTTTTCTTTTTCAACATTAAATAGGGTTCGTTCTAATTCGTTAAATGTAGTAATATCACTTGAATTTGAAAAGCAACTGATTTGGGCTGTGTCAAAAAATCACATTTAATAAAATATACAAGAATATAGGTGTTTGCTTATCAAAACGCAACCAAAAAAAAAAGAAAAGATAAGATAATAGTGGAATTGAACGTTACAGATTATTTTATTTTTCAATGTTATGTAAACAAGTGCCTGTTTAATCTAATTTTATTGAAAAAATAATCAGTATATAATAGCGCTTCACATCCATTTTATCATCATCGTCATCTTACACTTTTCCCTATGTTATGTACCTAAGGTATTATACTGCGACCTAGAAGATCTATTGTACCCCTTCAGTCACTAATGCAGCAAGAAAATAGTTTTGATGCCTGTAACGAGAGAATTTAATAAAAAAGTACAAAAAACAAACCATCCTAATTCTCTCAAATAGCCAGGCAGCTTTAAAGGCTCTTGATTCAACCAGAATCAAGTCAAAGCTTGTCTGGAACTACTTTGGAATACTAAATGATCTAGCAGCCCACAACAAGGTAAACTAGCGTGGGACCAGGACACAAAGATATCCAAGGAAATGAAAAGGCTGATGAACTCACCAAAGAAGGATCAGATCTACCATTCACAGGACCCGAACCTGTATTTGGGATAAGCAAAACCTCTGCTCGACATGCAGTGAACAGGTTGATAACCACAAAACACCGAATTCACTGGCAACAGATAAGAGGGCACAGAATCAGTAAGCTCATGCTAAGGGGACCAAACCCACGCATAGCTAATGAGGCACTACAACTCGCAAGGCTTCAGATATCCACCATTGTGGAATTACTAACGGGGCACTGCTTGCTGAAACACCTTCATGTAATGGGATTGCACAATGATCCCACTACATGTAGACTTTGCATGGAAGAGAGGAATAAACCATGTGATCTTCGAATGTGAAGCTCTTACTTTTAAGTTCTTTACGTTTAAGTTCTTCTCGGCCTAGAACCGGAAAGAACGCCCCAGGAACACTTGGTAGGGAACCTATTGAAACTAACCAAAGATAGTACTTGAATACGGGGAAAGCATTAGAATACAATAGACCCAAGAGGCCGCAGTGTTCTGGGCCAAACCTAACCCTACCTGCTTACAACCGACAAAGATAAAGATGAAAAAAACGACCCTTCTAATAATATCTTAAAAGGAAATATAATAGAATTTGAAGTTGCTCCAATATGGGTAGATAAATCTTTTCTCTTTGGTCTAGTAGTATAGTCTTTTTTGGATTCGGTAGTGCTACACATTCAGTCAAAATGTAAATTGAGGTTTTGTCTTCCTTCTTACAGAATCTATAGCCCCTTACTTGTACTTGTCCTAGTTTGTTGCCGACAATGCCCGATAAGGATACCTGTTACTAAACGTATCTTGATTTTGCTTGTACAGATATAGGGTTCTCCTTACCTGCCTGACAATCATCGGTTCTTCTACTGCCTAATTCGGTTTTAATCATGTCTTATAATATTGTGTTACTGGTAACACCGAGAGAAACGGCATATTAACGTTACAATTTTGTTGGCAATATTGTTTGATGGTTCTTAACTAGAGATGCAACGGATAGTTGTTTGGCCGGATAACGGATACCGGATATCCGGCGAGCTTCAAGGCCGGATAGCCGAATATCCGGCGGCCGAATATCCGGCCCAACGTCTAGCGCCTGTTGTGAGGATTCGAGCGTCGCGCAGGCGCAGCGGTAGTTCATCGGGGTCTCCAATACCTATTAAAAGATTTAGAAAAACTAATTCAAATGTAACTTGCGAATCTCACGACACATTTTGGAATTGTTTTGATGAAGTAGCAAATGAAAACAATAGTCAATGTCGCGATGGGTTTTTTTTCCACCCAATTGCAAACGAGATCGACTACTATTTGAAGACAGTTCGAATTGATCGCAGCCGCGACCTTTACACTTGGTGGTCAGTTAACTCGAAACACTATCCATATTTAACCAAGTTTGCCAAAGTGTACCTTTCAGCTTCTTGCAGCAGTGTTTATAGCGAGAGACTGTTTTCCGAAGCTGGCTTGGTGTACGAAAACAAGCGAAATCGACTGTTGCCTGCAAACTCTTAAAATTTGGTCTTTATTCACCATAATTTACCACTTATTAATTTTGACTATTAAAAGATAGTTTTAGGTTTTCAGAAGAAGGTTATTTTTTTTTGTTCTTTGTGACTTTTTGTGTGTTTATAACTTTTCAGCTTTAAATAAAAGCAAGTCATAATTTTAAGCCATTTTGTTATTATTAATAATTATTATTATTATTATTATTATTATTATTATTATTATTATTATTATTATTATTATTATTATTATTATTATTATTATTTACCACAAAAAGATTTATGTATTAAAGTTGATTTTAGGGAATTGTCACGAATTGTGTCGTAGTTATTGAATATCCTGTATCTGGCCGGATATTAAGCTACTATCCGACATCCGGCCGGATATTAAATTTAGGCCGGACAGGCCGAATACCGGATAGTTTTCGGATATCCGTTTCATCTCTATTCTTAACCCTGAAGTAGTCGCGGATATTCTCGCATCTGTTAGGTAGTTGGTAGTTGGATGTGCCAAATGATTGCGGAGGGTTGTGTAACTCGTTACCTGTCAAACGTCATCTCGAGTCTCCTAGACTTCAAGCGACTACTTGTGTTTTACTTTTTTCACGTGATTACTGATAAGTAGGCCTATTTTCTGCTGTTATAATTATTAATTTCTAGTTGCAAATAGACTATGACAAGTATTACAAATTAAAAATGTAAAAAACCGACTTCAAAAACGTGCAGATGCCACATCTTAACCAAATTTATATGGGACCACCCCTGAGGTACCCCCTTACTAACAAAAAAAGAATCGTATAAATCGGACAAGGTGGTAAAGCATTATCGCTAAACATACATAAAAAATGAAGAGTTTGAGGATTTTCTCATGAATCCAATTATTAGATTTTGACAAAATTTATATGGGACCACTCCTACAGTAGCCCCTTTTTAACAAAAAAAGAATTATTGAAATCGGACACCGTGTTAACCTAACCTAACCTAACCTAACCTAACCTAACCTAACCTAACCTAACCTAACCTAACCTAACCTAACCTAACCTAACCTAACCTAACCTAACCTCCTCCTTTTTTGAAGTCGGTTAAAAAGGAGCAGCAAAGTTTAATGCATCTCTAGGAGGAAGTTGACTCTGATGAGGCACCAATTGATGAAGATTCAGATCAAGATGAGAATGTTGTGGAATATAGATCTGAAGGCAGTGATAGGCAGAAGTACCGTTAGATCACCAGCAAAAATTCCTAGAGCTTCGTTTTATTTGGGCAAAAACGATACCACAAAATGGAACAAGCATGCTTTAAATCAGGCAGTGAGAACTCGATCCTGGAATATAATAAGTTAACTTCCTGGTACAAGAGATATTGCTAAATAAGCAAAAAGTTCTTTCGAGTGCTGGAATCTCTTCATCAACGATATCATTGTAGAGCATACAACTTTCTACATATCAACAAAACCTCAGAATTACAAAAAAAATAGGGACTGCAAGGAAACAGATAAAATTGAAATAAAAGCCCTTATTGGTTTACTATATAGATATATGAGTTGTCAAAGATACTGGTCGGTAGTTATTAACTAAAGTTTTATCGCCTTTTTTGTAGATCGGTGTTACAATTGTTTCTTTTAAAGTATGAGGAAATACACCTTTTTCAAAGCATATATTTATAATGTGATTGAGTGGGCCCGCAATTTCTTTTGAAATTTGTTTTAGGATTTCTGCTTGTATTTCGTCGGTTCCTATTGCTTTTTTATTTTTTAACTCAGCGATAACTTTAATGATTTCGTTTTCTTCAGTAGGAGACAACATCATCACTGGTGGTTGCTTTTGATCTTGGTAGTAAGTTTTTGTAATTTTTTCGGCCAGATTCTTTCGCATTTTAATAAATTGTTGATTAAATTCATTGCATATATCTTTTGGATTTGTTAGGTGTTTTCCTTCAATATCAATTATTTTACTAATTTTTTCATTTTTCTTGTTCTTACCTGTTAATTTGTTTACAATTTCCCACATTTTTTTAGAAACACCAGAATTAGTTTTAATTTGTTTTTTATAGAATTCAAACTTTGTTTTTGAAATGAGATTTATTTAACTATTACGGTATCCTTTATACTGATTTTTTAGATTTTCATTACCGGGATTATTTAAAGTTTCTTCAAACATTCTGTTTTTAGTATTAATAGACTGTCAAATATCGTTTGTTAGCCAAGGGGATAATTTAGTATTTTTTCGTTTAATTTTTTTAATTATTGTACTTTGTTTTAAAGCGTCCTTAATAATTTTAATAAAAGTCTTTGTTGTAGATTCTGGATCAGCTTGAGAATATACATCATCTCACGAGGCAGAGTTTATATAGTTAGTGAGTTTTTTATAATTTGTATATGGTTTAGTTTTTATTTGTATGTTCTTTTCTTGTTTATTCAAAAACATAATCTGTAGTATTATAGTTGTGTAATGATCCGTTACATCGTTTGTAATTATAAAAGGTAATATATTTTCTGTACTAAATTTTGTTTCAATGAATATGTGATCTAAACATGATTTATATATTGTGGTTGCTTTATTAATTGTTGAGAGATACTCGTGTTCACTTAGTATGTTAATGTATTCTAATTTGTCCTCACTATCTTGTAATACATTTATATTTATATCTCCTACGAAAAAGTTGTAGTTTTCAAAGCTATTATTATAGTAATTTTGTAATGCTATTAAAAAATTTTGTACGTTTGAAATTAAAATTTTGTATTTTTACTATTGTATATTGAAAATCGTATTTTATATTGATATAAGCTATAACACCATCGTTTTGATTTATATTACCTTCATTGTAAATCAAATTGTATCCTGGTATTTGAAACAAGTTTGGATCAGGTAATTTTTTTGTTTCTGTGAGTAATATGCAATCTACGGGCTTTTCCATATTGTTCAAGAGTATTTTAAATTCATCGAGATTTTTATTGAATAGGTCATTATATCAACGAACACAAATTTCGATAAGATTATTTATTATATTGAACTCACAAAAACGTAGGTATGTAGTTACTTGATTTATTTATTGTAAAGCAATTTTACATAAAAGTAATTCAAAGTTATAAAATTTAACCAATAAGTTGAAAGCAATCCAGTCCCTTCTGACGTCACACCGCACGAATCTCACGACCTCCCCTTTAAAGTATTGTTCGCTACATAAATTTGGCAATGTTGTGTGTCGTACCCTGAAGGGTCCGATTACAATTCAGGTATAATTCGTTGGCTATCGCCGCCTACTGGGGGTTAGTGGCTTGTTAATATACGAATGTAGGAATACTATTTTTAAACCAAACATCTCAAATATTTTTTATTTATTGATAGTTATAGATGATATACAGGGTGTCCCGAAATTAGACGGTCATATTTTAACAGCGTAATCTACATCCTAAAATAGTAGTAAAAGTTTATATAAACATAGGTCCAAAAACTTTTCTTTTCCGAGATACAGGGTGTTAAAGGTGAAGTCCTGATACCACACTTTTGTAAATATTTTCTAAACGTTTAAAGATAATTAGGTAAAATTTGTTACAAATACTTTTTTACGCTTCATTTATTGGACTAAACCCCAGTTATTGATCATCTTCTTAGGTGGGTAAATTAGGGGGAGCTTAGGGTAAAATTGCCGTGTGTGTCTGTGTGTCTATATCCACCATAACTCATGAACCGATACACAGAAAAACACTAAATTTTAAACTTAAGTTTTATTTCGGCCTGACGTGAAATAATTAGATTTTGGACAAAGTCGGAACATCTGGGGGGGGAGTACTTTATGGGAGGCCGTTTTTATATTTTATTGAATATATCTGTTATTTATGTTTGGAGAAGAAAATTATTTAAATAAAAGTTACTTCTAATATTATTATCTATAATTTTTGCTTTATGTCAAAATTTCCTGAAATGGTCCGTATTCGAGAAATTTGACAAAATGTGCAAAATTCTAAACTAAACTAAAAGTTGTTTGCGATATCGATCTCTATAATTTTTGTTTATACATGATTTTTTTAAAATGGACCGTAATGGAAAAATTGTAGGAAAATTGCTAAATTTAAATTTTTCAGTATTTTCGTTTTCAATGAATAACTATAGAAAAATGTTTCGAGGTAGATAGATGTATGTGGAAAATGTAAATATTTAGTTTATCCTCTAAACATTTATAGAGGTACTGCAATAAGTTGTACAAAGTAACCAGAAAAAGCCTATAATAACTAGATAGGAAAGTCATGTGTTGGACACATTAGATTTTTTGACTATAAAATTTGGAAAACCAATATTTTCTGTATAATAAAGCTACATTTGTTACATCTCGCTAGGGCGCGCCATTTTCAAGAGAAAAGCATGTTACCTTATTCGAAAGTGTAAACAATAATTAGTAGGTCTGTAGAATTAGAAATTTTATTTTTTTTAACTTTGAAAAACCGGTAACTAAAGAAATTTTAGAAAATATTTCATCTGGACTTCACTTGTAACACCCTGTATCTCGAAAACGAAACGTTTTCGGACCTATGTTTATATAAACTTTTACTCCTATTTTTAACCGACTTCATAAAAGGAGGAGGGAGGTTCTTAATTCGTCGCAATATTTTTTTAATTTTTTTTTAATGTATGTTCAGCGATAATTCTTTAACACGGTGTCCGATTTTAATGATTCTTTTTTTGTTAGAAAGGGGGTACTTCAGGGGTGGTACAATATAAATTTGGTCAAAATCTAATAATCGGGTCCATGACAAAATCCTCAAACTCTTCATTTTTATGTATGTTTAGCGATAATGCTTTACCACCATGTCCGATTCATATGATTCTTTTTTTGTTAGTAAGGGGGTACCTCAGGGATGGTTCCATATAAATTTGGTTAAGATGTGATGACGGCATCTGCACATTTTTGAAGTCGGTTTTTTTAAATTTTTAATTTCTAATACTTGTTTTTTTTATTTATTATAGATACAAACTAGCTACAGCATTGAATATTTTATAAATAATTATCATATAC